CCCCCCCCCCCCCCAAGTACATTTTCACCCATCATTAGGATGAATTAGCGCTGGTAGGGAGCAGTTCGAAGAACAGCTGCTCCAGGAAACGCGAATAGATTTTGGCATCCCATATGGAGGTAGATTAGCTGATTAGGAGAAGATAGAGTCTTCGTCAAAATAATTGCACAGTCATATGTAGAGTTAGAAAACACAAAGGAACTCAAAAATCTCGAGGACGAACTCACAGAATGGGAGCGGATTAGAAACGGATCGGTACCTTTGGAACCAGTCCTTCCACCTGAAAATAGTATGAGTAGCTGTCTCAATCACACCTTAGCTTGGTAAGGAAACCTTCAGCCGTTTGACATTTTTCTGCTTTGCTTTGTATTTAGCATACAATGGAACTAACTCAACAACATAATCAGCAGTCAGGTGACTGCAGCAGGTGCACCAGGGTCCCACCTAAGGAGCAGATCTACGATACCTTTTCTCAGAACTGGGGCACTAGAAGTCGAAAATCGCTGAGCGTGCTTTCAACACTTCAACTATTGTTAATTCTAGTTTAGCCAGAAGTGCCTCAAGAGAGCGAAACAATCGACAGACAAAGGAGGCAAGGTCAGAGGAGGGAGTGGTCAGAAAGCCGCGTCTCACCCCGGCCCCTCCAACTTTTGTGGTCCGTTGAAACCAGTCTTCTTCTCTTTCCCTCGGGCAGCCTTTGCACGTTGCTGGAGCTGATCGACCTAAGGGCTATCTGTGATAGGGTGTCTTTACAGGGGCAGCTCGTAAAACAACAATCTGCGGGCTGGAGTGGATTCCGATATGACACCGGCAGATCTTTTTCTAGAGCATGCCTTACGGTATGATGCGGTGTTAGTACCATCTAGTACCCCATCCCCATCAAAACCTATCAGGTCTTCTCGACACACTTGTTCCGGGGTAAAGAAAAGGAAAAATCACAAGTCGATATTCATGTGAAGCGCGAGTACAAAAGAGTGCAGGTTGTAGGCTGAGATTGCTCAATTGTTACTGATAATGCTTCCCTCTTGCTATAGCGCGAGATGCTTAAGAGTGATAGTGAATTTCTTGGTGTCTCCTTTCAGTTCCCTACAGCACCGTACAAACTCCTTTCTATATATTGTAATGGATGGAACAGCAGGGACTTCCGGACGAAAGAGGACCTAGCCCGGTCCCTTTGATGGGAATCGGTTTTTTGCTTCTACGCGTCGCTGTGGACTAACTTGTTCTTCTCTATTCCGTATCTTAAAGCACCAATGATTTTCCCTTCATATCTAGCGCACTAACCGCTTTTCATTCATTTCATTTCATAATATATTTGTTTTTTTCTAGCTCCAAGGTAGTTGTTGTAATACAATTCTGAACAGAAAATGTACACATGTACTAAGAGTGCATTTAATCGAATAGAAAATTTAACAACTTTCGTTTTGACTGCCGTGCAAGCTCGTTACAATGGAAGAGCTTTATTTGGCACACCTTAAATTTAAGCTTAAGTTGAAAGCTTCAGGATGATTTCAAAACTTTACTAAGAGTTAGAAAAAGAAATTTCTAGCTCTGTAACTAACGAAGCAAATTCTGCAGTCCTACCAGCATCAGCGACCAGATGAACAAAAAAGGACAAATGAGCTACCACTGAGAAAAGGCATAAAATATACTAAATAGGGTGATCATTCCTTCATAAGATGATGATGATGGCACGATTTCACTTGTAACGGGCATGCCCAACTTGGTTGTCTAGCCCTTGGATTTCAAATGGGGCTAGCTAGCTAGCTTCCACTTCTTCTACGGAGTTTCTACGGATGAAAGGGTGCAATATACAACAGTACAGTAATAAATCACGCTAAATTACCATGCCACCAATTATTTACTTGAGCTAAGATTTGACATGCTTTCTTATCACTCAGCTTACAGAGAAAAAAAAACGTTTTCTAGGAAGTAGTTAGGGCTTTTTTGGAAAGAAGTGTGCCTTGCTTATTCGTTCTTGTCTGAAAGTACCTCCCGTAATTTAAATTTGTTTAAAAAATATCACTACTGATGAAACAAAAACGATATTTTTCATACGTTCAGTCATAGTGAGCTCAAATTTCTTATAGCAAGACTCAAAAGTACATTAGACTGCACCAGCTGAATATAATATTAATCGAAGTGATTACTGGAGAATGGCCTACTCTGTCGTATGTGTAATCAACCTTCTCGTCATATTGAGAAAAGGTGAATACATCACAAAGAAGGCAAAGTCAGCAACTTCGCTATGTTTTCTAAAGGGAAACATTCCATCCATTGGAATGTTTTGATTTGTTTCTGAAGCACGCGTCAGCACCCAATTCAGTTGCACGCATGATCGAAACATTACATGCTTGATCAGCAATCATAGCTTATTTATATCTATATGCAATTATAATTAATATTATAATTAATTCCGAGATGAATTCATAAGTATCTGGGCGTATTCTTCTTTTAAATTGAGCAACACTGTTATATTTGAGTGCATGCAACCATTTGATTCTGTAGTGACATTTGGAGTAATCATTCTTGAATTGCAAGAGACAGAAATGGTAGCATTTCCCAGAGTAGAGTCTGGAAATGATTCCTAACCCGACAACATAGAAGTTTTGGTTCCCCAAATGCGTCTTTTCAGTACTTGACCACGCACCACGCAGAAGCAGCTGATCGACCTCTACCCTCAATCTACTCCACTTCAAAACATGCCTTAAATCAATTAATTCATATCTTAGAGCCATAATTACTCTATAGGACTATTATATTTAAGCGCGAAGTGCGTTTACAACATTGAGTCCATTCGGGAACCCACGATTTGTCGAGGGAGAAAATTTGAATTCGAGAAGCGCACCAGCCTTGGATGAGAAAGTGGTCGAGGATAAAAAATAATCCGAAGCTCCAAATCACCACATAATATCAATCGCTTCCCAAGCTTACTGATACTGTATTAAGGGAGAGAAACGATACAGCATCAGGTAGCCTCCGCAACACATTGACGAAGAACCAGTGGATGCTGATTGCAGGAAATGAACAGTATCTTCTCTCATTTTTCACCGATTCGTTACATTCTTCACTACAGTTTCGATCATTAGTCATTTCATGAAAATATTCGCATACCTGCTACAGTAAACATGTCATAAATAGGACGGTGCGGCTCCTGTGTCGACGACGAGGGCATCGTCGTAGTCGATGACGACAGCGTCGTTATGGAATTTGATGGTGACGTCTGTAACGACGACACCGAAGAAGAAGAAGATACCACGTAATTATCCACCACCACCACCTCCGCTGCAGATGTCGGACACGAGGAATCCGTTACGCTCTGCAATTATTTTGTTCTTAAAATTACTGAATAGGAACTACCGTGCTAATCCATGATTGATCCACATAAAACGTCGCTCCAATTCGTCAGTACGTAGAACAGCTAATTATTTTTAATATTATATTTAAAACTTTACTAACAATAAGATGTAGGTGTATAATCTTCCGAAGCATCAGTAAAAGCTTTTTGCAGATGGAAGCAAAAAGAAATCACAGAAGAATTCAAAGTTCCGAACACATTTTCTCAAAATTCGAGCACTCCGACAACCACTCTCACTAACGAGAGGGTATATTGGAAAAATGAATTCGCCAAATTCCCTTCATATCAGTATGGGTTGGTCTATAAGCCTTATAACTACCATCAAACAACGAAAATCCTAAGTGAATCGAACTCGGAGGAGGTAATAATCGTGTACGTGAAATTCACCCCCTGCGCTTTATGCCACATAATCTGGTTTCCACTCACACTCCTTTTCATGAGGGCTCTATTGACAAGAACTTTCGAGCATACCTCAAGTTGGCCCCATATGAACGCAGAGATCCGGAAGGTTGAAAAAAGATTGAAGTACATTGTAAGGACAGGATATCTGCTATCGGACATCCTACTAATTGAACAGAGGGTATCATTTTCAGCTTCACTAATTTGCTCACTAGGAGCAGACTGGTCTTTTTTGCAAACTGCACACGCAGTTCTTAATTCAAAGTTCTTCTATGTATAAGCATCGCGATTCGGCGAATACTTATTACGAGGAGTACAACAAATTAACGGAATCTTCTATCCATCAAAGGGAGGAGCATTTTCTCGAGACCTCATGAAACTACGCACTTCTCAAAGGCCGCAGCTAAATAGCACAGAAAAGGCAACTGCCATTCAACTTCAGGTTCAGTGAAGAGATATAGCGTAGAAGATAAAGTCTTTTGGCACTAATCAATCCCGTCTTAGGGATGTGCCTTCGCATTCAACTTCCATACAGAATTATGGTGGTGCACTGAGTGGGTATGTTCCGGTGGTCACCCGATGTACAAGTCAGTGACTCTATTCTCTCAGACCATTCTGGTACCAATTAACTGACCAGGAAAAGATGGAAGGCTTGTTTAGCCTAGGTGGATGTTGATCCGGTATTGGACCCGTGACATGCATGTGAGATAGGGCGCCACATGCCACTCCACCACCCCCGCCCAGATACGGCATATACAAATAATTATTGTGTGCTAAGGCACTCTCTAACATTGGCTAGATGCACCGGATAGTATTCCCTTCGATCAAATTTCCCTAATACCCTAATAATTTCCTCGATCACCAGACTGGTTCAAAGAATGAAAGCACCACCAACACAAATGTCCATTTCGAGAGTTCGTTGATGCAATGAATTACGTGCCAATGCTCACTTAATACTTTCGAATGACTAAAAAGATACCAATCCACTTTAAACACCTCCATGGTACTCTTCTTCAGAAGTTAGCAAAAAATGTGGATTACAATGCAGTTAGAAAAAATTATCAAGAAAAGCACATGTAGTGAAGGCGGGGATGAGGCCGTAAAGAGAAACACTGCATTATTACAGAAGAGTCCTACTTTGTAGGTTGACTGCATCAGAGCAATTGTTTACAAATAATCGCGTGGCAGTGAGAAACACACAAGCCCACGGCTGCCGCCAAGTCAATGAAATGGATGAGAAAATGGCGTGAAAGATTGAGGCACAGCAATAGCGGCGGCAATTGTGATAGGTAGACGTTGTCAGTCAGCGCATGTCCATGGTAACGGGTGAAATAAGTTAATGGGTATAGGAAGCACAAGGCAGACACTACGTGCTGGTTTCTCGGGCATTTCCAGTCGGCTGATAACAATGCTTTATGTCACATTAACGAAAAAGTCCTACTAGAAGAACTACACGCGTGCACAGATAGAATATAATGGAATTAAGTGCAACATCTAATTTTAAGTTGCCTTTTCCAACAACATGGAGGAAACTCTAAGCCTAACGGCTAATGTAAGAAGAGTGGGGTAAGAAAAAGCGCCTAATTAGTTTCAAACGTTGCTTGAACCTCTAAAAGTTGAAATCAATAGGTAATTCTTTATCGAAACTCTCCCGCACCTCTTCCACAATCTACCCTGCGGGAAAGATTACTATTATGCGGGCAAGCTTGAATGGAGAACGCAACAAATTTCATCTGCGCGCCTCGAGATTCCTCACCTGACTGATTGAAAAAAANAAAAAAACATAGACACGTGCCTCTTTTTTTCCTAAAACTGAGGCATTGCAACCATGATAATTGCTACTCGATTCTCACTTCTTCAAAGAGAGAGGGGAGGGGAGGGAGGGGAGGAGGACGATGGATGGGAAGAGTGGGTGTCACAAGCAGCGATTATGCAAATTATAAAGCAGCTGTACTATTCTGAATATGGGCGCACTTTGTATTCTCCCCAAAGTGTTCGAGAGAGAACCAATATAGTTACCAAAAAAAAGTTAGAGCACTTACAACATTACAATCCATTAGAAAAGGTCACTCAACGATATAAGAACCGATTCCTGAATCGGTCATTAAGTTTCTAGCTTCAGCACCAATTTTTCTGTCGCCCCCTAATTAGTCACCTGGCCCAGTGGCCAAATCACTACAGTGGCTGGAATCGCCTCGATAAGCACCATTGATACAAAATCCTAGCGGTTGTATAGTGGTACTTCTGACTAAATGGGCAGAAGTTAAGGCAGTAGCTTCAAAACATGTCATTTGTGCAATCGAAACTAAATTATATACTACGTACTGAAGTATAGATTTACACCTCAGCTGCGAATGAATTTCGAGGAAATCATAACCATAGCCATCGAAATAAAAAACAAGTGGATCATCAAACTGAAAGCACTTCAAAGAATAACTGAACAAGGAAATTGGGCCCTTCAATCGACCTTGATGAATACTTTTTCCTCGTCGGAACTGCTTTCAAACCCCGAGAATCAGAAAAACTCTCGGAAATCAATTAGCACATCATATTTATAAGGCTTTTGGAATGAATTCAAGCAAAGTGGGCCTCTGGACGCATTTTCTTAATGGGACAGATGAGTTCTACTTCTAGAATTTTGAGGAGATCGAGAGTCTTAGAACTCAGAATAGGTCACTTTTTCCTACAAATTACGAATGTACCCCACAATTTTATATAATCCTTTTATAGAGCGCTCACCATTCTTCCAGACATGTGAACTTCATTAGAGAAGACAGTGAAGAACAGAAAGGCCAAAGAACAAACCGCGCAGCTGCTCATAATTGGTAAAACAGCGTCTTAAATTCAACGGCGACTTTTGCAAACAGAAAAAGTGCTAGATCTGGAGGACCGCTTTGGAACGAGCCGGAACTCAATTCATTCATGCTAATTATCAGTCAAAAAAGGAGCTACAGTTGAGTTTGGCACTCGAGAAAGTTAAAAACCTCAGAAAAAATCGGAACCGAAACTATCTCTGGGGTGCGATGTTTCGCTTCTTTTCCATATTAGAGTTGAATAGCTTACGATGTTTCACTTCTTTTTCCATATTAGAGTTGAATAGCTAACTCATAATTTACTGAGTAGCTTCAGGGTGAATTAATACCCTGAAGCTATAACATTAATGAGCGGGCGGTGCTAATGACGTACCATAATAATGAAAGTTGATGAACGAAAACTTCAAAAATGGTTGTTTCTCAAAATTCAAAACGCTGTTTTGTAGAAACTAACTAGTTAGCTGAACTATATAACTTCTGAACATAAAAACAAACAAATTATAAAAAGGAATTTGACTATGGAGAAGGAATGCACAACCCAACCGTATTGTTTTCGTAAAGGTTATAATTGCTTGTTGTTTGCGTACAGATCGAAAGCACAGAAACAAGCAAGGGTTGCTTTTCAAGTGAACGTCTAGGTTTTGATAATGAAAAAAGCTGCACTAATATTACGACAGAGGGATGAACCAATAAACTTGGTGAGAAAAGGTTCCATGATGATTCGCAAGATGGAACAAAGCATACACAATTCGCTGAATTCGTCTTTGAAACCTTTGTTAGGAATTATTTTGCATTTCCATATCCTCTTCCATGCAGCATCATAGCTTAGCGAGAATTCCTGATTATGGTATTCAGAGGATGCATGAAATGCACTGAGCCAGAAAAGAAGTTGTTGGAACGAGGCATTTAATGGGTGAAAGGAGAGTGAATACCGGCAAAGAGAAAACAAACGGCTATTGTAGACTGTTTCCATTCATAAAATAAAAACACGTTACGCCTCCATATGGACTCGCTAGCCGAAACAGTACAAATTAAAAATGAAATGTGTATTACCTTCTTATTGGGGGAGCTTCGTGATACTGTTGTTGATGAAAAAACTGCGAGTTGCTCCCATCACCATTCTGCGGATTCGATCCTGGTCCAGAAACAGAGGTGAATTGATGTCCAGCTTGATTTTGCTGGTTGGCTGGTGGAACTGTTTCCGAATAGGAGTATGTAGCCGATGATGAATACCCCTGATCAGGTTGCTGAGGTAGATGCATTTGCACGGCGTTACTTTGAGGTATATTGGACGGTGAGATCACCGCAGGTGACTGATTATGCATTCCAATGTTTTGCTGATAGGGTTGAGCGTGATTGGCGATCGACGACTGAGAGTTTGCTGCTGCTGGAGATGGAGCTGATGTTAGCAAACCGACTGAGATTGCTGATGACCCATTCTGGAAATAATAGTTGATTTTTGATTGACCCATCACGATGAGTTCTACATTTATGATCACATTAAAGAACATTTTATATTTTCAAGAGTACTTTCCATGCAAAATCCTGAAGGTGTGTGAAAAAAAAGTTCAAAACATTCACATACACAGCTTTATAGATGGAGCCGATGCCCATTGAAAGTTCCAGACAGAAGAAATTATCGTGCAAAAAGTAAACTTGGCAATAAACAAGTTCGTCCTTAACCATTTGTCTGTTTTTAGAGAACATAACCCGAGCTCCTAATGACAACATGATGGGCGACGCTGTCACATCATGCGCATTCCCAAAAGTTACGAATAGAGTGGTGGAAAACTCTTATCGAACATTTAAATCTATCGCGCAGATACTTCATAGATGCCATTATGGTCATCTCTCCTTTCAGAGGCCTTAATAAAAGCCTTTAGCTGAGTCGGAAGCTTCTCAGTGGACAACAATTTTCAGCGACATGTACCATATCGGAAATTGTTTGATAGATCCAACTTCCCAAAGAGTGAATTCTCGACACATTTTCACGAACTATAGAAAATCAGAATATCTGTATTTAGGTAATGTATAAGGACACTCCAATCATTAAAAAAGTTCACCTCTTCAAAAGAAGTTCCTAGCGCATTAATGTTTTTCTTAACGTAACAGTTGTCATCAGATAATACGCTAAGCTTCTTAGTATGCAAAGTTAATGAGTGGAAAAAGAAGGGAGAACGATTACCCAAAAGGAAATGGCATAATGCAATCCTAATTTAGTATCGATTCTCTCCTCTGAAACCCGTGGAACAGATAGTGAATTTGCTCAATCATACAAAGTATTCCTTTCCGTAGTATCTACATCTATGCATACAGTTATGCCTCTAATGATGTAGCGAGAAAAAGAGATAAACTGGCGAGGACAATTTAGGAATTCATCACAAGAAAAAAAACATGTTGACAAGAAAGACGCGCTGAAAAACTAACCTGATAC